CAAAAGATAGCTGTTGCTAAAGAGGTTGGAAAGGTTACCTTCTCCAGAAATAGAGCTTCCTGGATGTCTCCTTAACACTGAGTATAAATACCTGGGTCTTGGCACTAGGCTCAGAGGTATAGATCACCCTGCAACATTCGTCCTCAGACAATGTCTTCTTGCAGTTAAAACAACTGCTGGAAAAGACTGCTGTGTGTAGGGAAGTGCTGTTCCCTGCTTCAAAGGCACCCTTAGGTTGAACAAAGCAAAACCTACGGACTACGGAGAAACAGTATTCCCCTTCTGAAACCCACCTTAAGGTCATCAAATGTACTGTCTATTTTAAATTTTACTTACATAAATAATATCAAACATATAGCATTCTTAAAACCAAGCTCTATCGGTCTTTAATATTTTCTACATTCTACCTGAATCCCTAAATATCTTTCTCTGTTTTTCCACTGCCTGTCTATGATCTTAGTGTATATTATTACAGTATTATCCCAGTACTTGTAAAATATTTTTTAACTATTAGTTTTTCTATAATAGATTTTGGTTTAAGTATGTTTTAAAGAAAATATATATCATTGTGAAAAAATAATATAGGTCTATTACAATGAGAACATCTTTTTTTTTTTTTTTTTTTTACTGAGTTGTGTGTGGGTCACCAGTTTCCCCACGTTGTACCTTTTAACACTTTCAGTGACTCTGCACCTACCTTCCTCCTTGGACCTGAGAGAGTACGTGGCTAAGGTGACCTCACAATAGAGGAAAAAGAGCCATTCTCCTGTGCTGACCATAGAGGAGCTGCCCAGAGCGCTCTGTGCTACTTGCTTTGGATTTTGTATTTTGGTAGTAGTGGCCATTGAGCCTTCACACTGAGCTACAACTCCAACCCTTTTTTTATTTTTAAGCAGATTCTCACTAAATCACTAAGTTGTCCAGTCTGGGCTTGCGGTTACCATCTTCCTGCCTAAGCCTCCCACATTTCTGGGAACACCAGTGTGCATCACCCTATCAGTAAATATGACTCTTCTATAACCTTCATCCATGTCTGCTGAAGGCCCAGGACAGTGATGGTCAAACCATGGCAGACACGCTGCAGCAGGACGCTTGCGTCACTGCCTGCACTAAGCGGCTCAGGCTCACTATCACTGCCCCAGAACATGAACTGGTCATTTTTCCTCACTCTCACAGTCCGCCTTCACATCCACAAATTTAATCCTACTGGACTGTAGACCTGGGTGATCACAGTTTCCACTGTCAGGAGAAACTGAAATATCTCCTTTTAGACTGTTGCTCTAGCTCTTTCTTCTTACCTTCCATTTGCACATGACCTCCAGTTGGCTGATTCCAGATATTACTGGGAATATAAAACCAGGAATAGCAGGAGTCAGGGATGGGATGAATCTTTTTAATTTTTAAGTACTGCATATTAGGCCTTTGCGTTGAGCTACATTCTCAACTCTTTTTATATTTTATTTTAGGACAGAGGCTCCCTAGTTTTTCCAGGCTTAACTTGAACTTGCGATTCTTCTGCTCTGGCATCCCAAAGTTTTGGGAGTACAATCATGCATCACCACCACCAGCTAATTCGCTTTGAAACTTGAATAGAAAAGAAAGCCAGACACTCAAGTATTAGAAAATGGAAATAATTTGAGAGATAAGAGTTGGCAAAATTATCCTGCCAGTCAGACAAAAATGGAAGGGGGCCAGGGAGACTGGCAATAGGAATGAATTCATGGGCATGAGAGACCCAAAGCACCCCTGGAAAACGATCCATAGTACAGAGAGGAACCATCAAGAACCATGACTCAATTCTGCTAAACATGCATGTTATAAACATAAATTACAAAATACAGATTATACCTTCCTAGTACAACCTTTGAATCCTACTATGTCCATACAAATATTTTACATGCCAGAAAAATTTGGGTACATGATTCTAATTTTTTAAAGTGTGCATATGTGTATATGTCATCCTATTTGTGTGCGTGAATATTTAGCATATATTCACATATGTTTGTGAATGATATGTATATATGCATGTTTATCTTGTTTACATTTTCAGTAAGATTTATTCCTAAGAAATAGATATACTCTCAATATGCTAGCATCAAATTTCTGAGACTATCAGTTTAAGATCCAGATTTCAGACTGTGTTAAGTTCATACAAATAATAATGACCACCTTTCCTTTCTGCTATTTCTTCTTTCAAATATTTTATGACTATCATCAGAAATAAGTATAACCTCCACTGAGAAATCTTGCAAATGAAGTGGCATGATATGTAATTGTCATTTTTCAGCCCTCATGGAAGTTTTACTTTCTTCTTATGGTCCAATTGTCAAAGGTGCCAAAATGTCAGAGAAAGGGGGGTGGATTTTGAAAAAAAAAATGTAAAAGGTGTTCTTCCCAAAACCTGTATTAAGCCTCTTTTGCTTTTAAATAATGCATAATCAAGCTGAGCACGCTAGTGAAAGTCTATAATCCCAAGATTCGGGAAGGATGAGACAAAAGCCTGCAAGTTTGAGTGCAGTGTTGGCAACTTTGTAACTTAGCAAGACTTTGTCTCAAAACAAAAAATAAAAAAATTAAAAATGGAATGGGATGTAGCCCAGTGTGCAGATGCTGGATTCACTTTTCAATGCCAAAAAAAAGACAAAACAAGAGCTACTGGTAATTGAGCTCTTGCAAGCCCTCCAGAAACTCTTAAGCATGCATTGGTTTACTTCTTCAAAAAATTCTCTGAGATGACCAATATTGCCTTTGTTTTAAAACTAAAAATATCGAAGGGTACAACATTTTGGATTGTATCCAACATTTACAGCATACAAATATAAAACTAAGTCAAAACCGCTAACAAAAACTGGGTAAGAAAACCGTATCTGACTTTAAAGTTAGCGGCCTCACATCATCCCTGAGTCCAGCTCTCTGAGCTGCCGGGCAGAATTTTAATTCCAATGTGAGTTCACAGGGATGCTTGGTGATCTCAGCAATACTTTATGCCTTGGATCATGAATATGATGTGAGAAATTCTTCTTCCCCTCTCAACTTCCCCCATCACCTCATGAAGTGTGATGCTAAATCAACACTACACCAAAATGAAAGGAGAGCCTGCTGACCCCAGCTCCCTGAAATGCTGTCTGGACCGCCACTAATTCTGTCCACGCCCTGTTTCAGTCACTACTGGCTTCCTCAGCACTGCCTCTTTCTGGAAGGATTTGCAGGTTTTAATGCCACACATACCATCTTCAGCCCTCACGTAAGTTTCTCAGGTCTCTTCCTTGTCCTGTTCTCACACCTATGTCAAATGCAGCTTTCCCCGATGTCTTTCCTGAAACTTACAAGCACAGACGGAAGCCCTTGCCTATGCTCAACTCCTAATTTCTTGGAATCATCTCCTCAGGGTCCTTCCTAAGTTAGTTTTTCTTGGCAAGAAAGCTTCCTGCTAGAGATAAAGTTTGGTGTGGTGTTCGTTCTGTTTATTAAGGATCCACATGCTAGCTGATCCTATGTATCTTATAAACTCACAGTTGCACATCTTAGACATCATGTTAACAACAATCTCTAAACCTCTAAGGGAAATATGACTTCAGGTCTATGGTTAATCAAAAATTAGAAGCTAAGGAAAAATATATACATTACAATTTACAACTCTATCTTAATATTATGACATAAAATAATGCACATATCTGCACATTTTTGGAGTACATCAGTTTCACCTGTGAAATACTTAACAATATACATGACTGATCCAGTTTTAGAAAAGTATAATTGAAGTCACAATCCCATAATAATATTATGAAAGATTTCTAATGCTTAAAGTATATGACACTGTCCGTATCTTATTTATACCATATAAAAAAGTCATTATGAGTCTTACAATTATATACAAAATTATTCTTCTTTATGCAACCAAGTCATGTGCAGATTTTAGCTCTATAATAGGGACTAGAAATTGCAACAAATATTATACACCTTATAAAGTCTTTCATTACTTACTATAATCTAAGTGTAACAATACATACAAAGCAAAAAAAATCTAATCATGTATATAAAGTATGCTGTGTGTACTCTGAACTATTTTCCATCTTAAAATGTATTTTACTTTATCAAATTTGAATCAACACATAGTTCTCTTGCAATGCAAAATGTGATAATTTTTATTGTAATGAATGATAACCTTGTGTGTTGGGGGTTATTGGGGATTGAACCTAAGACTTTTTCACTAAGCTTCTTATCTAGCTTTTTATTATCTCTCATTTAATCCTCTTAAATTGCTAGTTTCCTAGGTCAGACTACAGTTTTTACTTCCCCTGATTCAGCCTCCAGAGTTCCAGGATTTAGACATATACTACTATGACTAGGTTAATGATAACTTTTAGTAAGCAAGTCAATTAATATCACAAACCTTTTCTAATGTTAACAAGTTAAAAAGAAATCTGACACAGACTACATAAGCTTATAGTCATACTTACTTCCAAATGAATATTTGTCTGCCACAGATTTCCCTTTCCTTTCATTAAAATTCTATGAATTTAAATTTCAAAAAAAGAGATTATACTGCTTTATTGTAGGGTCTATTTGCTTTAAAAATGAAAAATTTTCAGAACAAATGAGCTTTTTATTCAAGTTCACCAAAGATCATTTTAATGAATTTTTTTTGTAATACAATTGCCTTTTCAAGTTTATTGCTGTCCTATGTATAATGAATTTTTTATGATGGGGTGTCTCAAATTACACACTTCATTATTATAGAAGTCCATTTAATTAATTGCACCATGATGACCACTTAGACTTCTGAGTCACTATATTTTAACTAATGGAGGCTGTTTTAAGGAAAAATTCTTTTCAAAATTTATGTATCAAAGAGCAAGCATTACAGTTGGCTTAGTTAAGCAGACTTGGAAAATTCTTTTTAAAAATAACAATGCTTTACAAACAATTTTACACTATGAAGACAGAACACTAAGAAAAAGACATAAATAAAGAAAAAATTAAAACATGTCTCTACTCACCAGGTGTGAAGTTGTAACGAGCTGAAAATCCCATGGACTCTAATTCACCATCAGCAAAAAATTTAATCCACAGAAATCGTCCACTGGATTTTATCACGGGTGGGTTTTGTTGTCCACAAAAACGACCAATTATTGGAGAAAAGCCAAAAGGTCCATCTCTAACTTCAATGTGATCAAATTTGCACTCCCAAGATGGTTCAATAGAGTATTTTTCATCAAAGTAAAGTTCAATGCACTGTCTTGGAGCAGCTGTGAAAAAGAAAGATTAAATATTTAGGTGATGCTTTTATATTCTATTTCAGGTTTTATCTATACACCTTTTTCAAACTTTGCCAGCGTCACATATGGGAATGCAATGAACAGAAATGACAAGACAATTTGAAAGAAAACTCTCATAAAAATGCAAAAGGGGTGGTGTTCCTTAAACTTGATAAAGTAGTACAAAAGAATTAAAAGTTAACACATCACGGTATTTTTGTAAAAGACACTAAAGAAAGATTTAAAAGGTAGAGTGATGTTGTTTTCTCCTCTCATCTATTCCAAAGTACTTGGGTTTAGGGTCAGAAACCACTTGAGGACTGTTCAGCACAGTTACATAATCCTTCAAGTGGCTCCTGTCAGGTGTTGTGGTAAGATCCCGATACATATGTAAGGATATCAAGAGGAGTTTTTCTAGAACACAAATCTGATCCTGCACACTCAGTTTATCCTTCAGCACGTCTTCCTCAGCTGTAGGACCACGAGGACACCCTTGACTCTAAGAGCTTTATTGACATCTTGTTTTCGGCATCCTGTCACCTCACAGAGGCCCCAAACTCCAGCCACTTTAAATATCATGTTTTCTAAGATAGTACAGCCTCTCAGGCTGGAATGTATTTTTCTCACTTTCTTCTTTATCTGCATACATACGATTTAACTCCTTTTAATTTAAGATCTTGTTTAAGGGAAACTCTTCTCTACATCTGCTTGTGAAAGGCAAGACCCATATTATTTACATTTTTTTCTCTGCACCGTGGATTCCTGCTCCCAAATCTCTTTGAGTGAATTATAAAATAAATTTATCTTTATAAATGTTTTTATAGCTCGCTAAAAAAAAAAAATCACAGAAGAGCCATATGGGACTACCAGCCGCATAAGCCACCATTTGACTATATTGTCTAATGTTATCCCATTATTTCCTTGCTATAAGTCCAAACAGACAAAAGTTCTGTGATATTTGGCTAAGATGTTCCAGAATGGCTGTGCTATTTGTTGAAATATCAGTTCAGGTTTATTCAGGGTGTCCCTCGGCTGTTGCTTCAGGACACTGGAGTGCTTCCCTGCTCTTTGGTGCTCTTTGGGGACTCCTCCCAAGCCTCACGAGCTCAGACCTGGCATGACACAGCCTGATGACCATGTGGTCAGCAGCCATTCTGATGGCCGCTGTCCATGCTCTGCTAGGTCTCGAATGCATATCGATTATCACCCTTGATGACCTAAAAATTCATTCTTTGTATGCTTGGATGTCCAAAATTTATACAGCATTGAGATATATGAAAGCTTGGAAATCAGAGACTTGGAGAAAGGAATATAATCTTACTGCTTTTCAAGTATAAATGTAAAAATCAACCAGGAAAAGTTAGTTTGTATCCAAACATTATTTTATGAAGTAATTTTAATCTCTAACAATATTTCTTACTTATTGGGCATTCAAAAAAGACATTTATAGTACATATCAGAAAAATTAGGAATAATTTTATCTAACATTAATGTAGATCTCAAAGGTCATCATACATCGAATCTCAAACAGTGACAGATTTGAGAAAGTTTCTATTAAATACTTGAAATCCAGAAATTTGAGCACATCTTAAGAAATTGCCTAGAAAAACATTAATCTAAAAGAGGCAAATGCTTAAAAGCAACTGAATGGGTTTTGGATTTAGCACTAAATATGCCAATTGCATGTGTTATAATTCTATCGAACACATCTGCTCATTTATCTTCTCTGTGATAAGCCATATGGGAAGTCTCTTGGGGCAATAAACTATTTAAGAATGTGGGGTAATTCTTTTAGAGACCTGGAATTTATGATTAGGAAAAGCTAAGGAAATTATAACAGTCTTGTGTTAACTTAGGTATTTGTCTATACGCTCCCATTTCTCCTATTAGGAAATACATGACAATCTTATACAAGTTTATTCATGTATTTATTTATTTACCTTCCTTTTCATTGTTACTTAAATCCTATCCTACATGAATAAACAAATCATTCAATGTCCCTTGGAAAAAGATGCTATCATTATGACTTTTGTTAGGACATACTATGTGCAAACAATTTATTTTTCTTTGGTACAGCATGTTAAAGTCAATCATACAGATCTGCATATGAAAAGTTGTCTAGCTGAATTTTAGGAGGCAGAAAATTAATTCCTAAAATAAATATACCATATAGTTCTTATTGTAATTTAAAAGTGAATTATTATGGCACAAATAAACTACTGAAGCTTTCTAGGTTCAGTTTCTTAAATTTGTATTTTCTTCATGTTCAAAATGCTCCATTCACATGTTATCATTTCCCTGAGCTGCCTGGGTTAAAAAACAAAAACAAAACAAAACAAAACACAATGGGGCTCCTTTATGAAAGCCCTCGACCTGTGTGTGAGTCTTTGGACATGTTCTATACACAGGCACTTTCACTTGAATTGTATCTTGATAGCTTATTTCCTCCAATTTTAGGGCATTTTAAGACTGCCAGAAGTCCATGAAAGGATGCTTCTGATGTGACTGAGATTCCACTTGAATACTCTGTCACAGTTCACCTAACCACAGGGATTGGACCAATCCCTTGTCTCTTTTTGTCTTTCTTTTTTTATGCTGACTGGCCAGCATGGGTCCCCTGTTCCCCAACACCAGGCACTGTCCGTCCTTCTTCCACTAGGGCCTGCTCCATGCACAGTGGATCACTGGAAGTTTATCCTCTACTCACTAATATTCAATCACTTTATGAGACATACCCATGAATACAGAAATTGGACACATTTTCTCCCTTGAAGCCCCCCCCTTATATTTCTTCTTTGGTATGGTGTTTCCATTTAGTAAGTAGCCAGCAAAAACTCCTTATAATAGTTCTGGGATACTCTATGCTCTCTCTCTTCATCCCATACCTGACATTCTAAATAGCACATTTCTGCACATCGCATCAATACTGTTTCTTTAGTTCAGAGTTTTACTATGATTTGTGTGGTGTTTTTTTTTTTTTTTTGGGGGGGGGGTAAGGGGATCTCAAGCCTTCAAGGCAGGCATGTAGGCTGTGGAGCTCAATCCCCACCCACTTGTGGGGTCTTTTGCACTGGTTTCTTAGTTCACACTCTTTTCCTTCGTTAAGTCCTCAAAAACCTTACCTCGTTATTGCCCTAAGTAAATTATTTTAATGGCATCCCACTGTCTATTACTTAATGTCTACACTCCCATGGTGGGACAGAGGGAATACCATATTTTACTTTATCCAAGACCATGTAAGTCCTGTCTGCTTCCTTTCTCACCAGTGAAGAGATTTTTGGTGTCTTTCATCACCATGTCACATCTTAGAACTTTTTTATAGAAGATGATTACCTCCTGGATGTTTTTTCAAAATGAAGGCTAGCATCTCCTCCTTACAGACTCCCCTTCAGTCATTCTATTCTAACCATTCTGTGCTACTTTTGAGGTGCCTTTACACTGTTTACTGAAAGGGATATAGTCTGCAGACCATATCGTCAGTGCCACAGATTGCAGGCTGTTTTGTTTAAGACTCTCTAAACTGTACCTAGAAGAGCGGCTGCTCAATATTAGTTAAATAAATGTGTAAAATGTTTCAAAAAGGGTACAGAGTCAAGAGTGGCCCTTTACACCTGTAATTTTAGCTGAGGCACAAGGTTTGCAAATTTGAATCCAACCTGAGCAACAAAAGGAGACCCTGCCTCAAAAGTAAAAAAAATTTAAAAAGAGACTGGTGATAGAGCTCAGTACAAAGACGCTGGGTTCTATCCTTAGTATCCCCCCAAAACAAGTACAAAATCAAGACTAATAGTAAATGGAAGTTCCTACTTATTTCACGTTAGCTTTGTCCTTGATATAACTGCAAATCCATGACATTTTTTAGATAACATTAAACTAAAATGCTAGCAATGCTTTTAAAATACAAGTACTATATTAACAATGAAAAATATAATTTACTTCTGAATTAATCTTTGAAGTAAAAGAATTGATTGATTGATTTTATTCTTTGTATAGTAATGTAGAATTGTAAAATATGGCCGCTTTAAAACATAAACTATGTCATGTGAATTTAAGCAAGATATCTAACCTCTATGTGCCATTTTGCTAGTAAATCAAATGGGGCCAACAAAAATATTTCCTATGATTAAACGTATTAATACATGTTCTTATAAAATTCATGTTGTTTGTAATATATATATATATATATATATATATACTTGATAAAAAACTGATTTCAGGCCAGATTCACTATTATTTCAATATCCTCATCAATGAAAGCTTTAGATGTCCAATTTCTTTCTTTCTCTTTCTTTCTTTCTTTCTTTCTTTCTTTTTAAGATCAGAGTTGGTCTGTTTTCCCTCTTGCACTTTGGTGTATCTTTGCTAAAAATTCTACTGTAAGCGTAACAAATGGAGAAGAAATACCCTTTCCTCAAAAATTGCAGAGAAAAAGAACCAATCATAAATAGATACTCTTAACATCATTTGAGCCAAAAGTCTGTTTCTTGTGGAAGTTCTCTCAAATGAACTTGCCCCTGGTTTTTAAATGGACATCAAGCACAGGGCACTTTTTCATGAAGGTAGCTCTGTCTATGTGTGTCAGAGAAGGGTTGCAAATTATAGGCTATTTAGAACACAAAATATTGAAAATTTCCAACACTACATTAAATGCTCACATTAAAAAAGTAGTATTTACTTGATGTGTTTCTAGGAAAGAAATTTAAATGTTCTGAGAGATGAGTCTTTTTTTTTAGTAATATTTATGCTTTAAGTTAAAAAACAATAAAAGAAATTATCATATAGTAGAACTATGATTTTTTACTGTGATAATCACCATTTTAGCAAAAAAAATGTATGCTTCATTCAGATTAATATTTAGAAAACACTGATTATAAAATTTTCTCTGGCATTAATGATTTTCCATGCTTTAATAACTTTAAAGAAAAATGGCACATATAGGTTATTGCAGTCATTGTTAAACTAATAAAAATGTTACTTTTCAAACTGTTACACTTTAGGTAATAGCCATTGTATTACTTTACAGCTGTAAATCAATAGCTATAAAATAAGCTTTTAAATTGTTGATTTGGTTTTATTTCTAGGATGCTTGCTTATAAGCCATTACTAATAATTTATTATTAGTTTATTAATTATTATTTATTGTTAATTAATAATTACTAATAATTTCAGTAGTCTGATTCCAGATTTTACAGTTATTGGCTCAGAGATATTTGTGTTCTTTGCTACCTTCAGACTCTCTTTTTATGAAGTCTAAGTGCATAGTGCTTATCCTAGGCATGGAAATGGACAGGTCTGGCCTGTGTCTCACTGTGCTTCCTCCTTGCTTACCTTCTATGATGTAGATGCACTCTCGGTCAGGGGGGTACTTGCTAGGATAGTTGGGGGAAGTAAAGATACCTCCATCTGCATGTTTCGTCCAGGTTCCACACTGCACCGATTTCTGTGTTTCTGATGGGGTTTGCTTCTCTGTAAAATATAAACAAAAAAGTGAATTTGTAAAGAATCATCTATAATACTAAAAATAGAGAGGACATTCTTATAATATCCATTAGTAAATTAATTCTGAAACACTCTGTTAGTCAAAACCAATCAATTATACACACTAGAAAAAGGTTCAGACATTCTGGAACATTGAGAGTATGAGGAATACAGGGAAATGCGAGAAGAATTTGAGGTCTTCCACTAGCATTTTTCCAAAGAAACACACCTGTTCCTTTCTTGGTTGCCCCAGAGAAATGGAGGATGATTAAACTTGCTACAACTGAAATAGAAAAGAAAAATTAGAGATAGATAATATGCACTAAAAGTTCCAAATCTCATAAAAACATAGCAAGATTTAAAGATATAACGATACAAAGGCAGATTAATGTCATATTGTTAACTGTTACAAATTGATTCCGAACTTGCAAAAATTAACTCAAAATGTACAAGAGAAAAAGTGGAGAACCCCTTAAGGAAGTAGTACATGTTTGTAATGAATGAGATCCAAAATCCTAAGGTACATAAACGCATACCTCAAAACCAAAAGGTAACATTATCCTACTCTACTAACATCACATAGGACTTCAAGACCTGTGCTGTGATTGGACCACCCTTCCTGGAAAGACTTTGCCAGCATCTTTAAAGGAAAAAAGAGAAGAAGCAGATAGCAGGAGGAAAAGGAAAACAAACAATGATAAAGAAATCCGTGATTGATCCCAATCTATCGCCAATGCACTTGTATTTTAGGAAAAAAAAAAAAAATTACTTAGGCAAATCCTGTAGGGGACCGGGGAGGACGAGTTAGAGAAAACAGATTCATGTGGACTGGCACTCAGCAGCATGGTAAAAACTTGCTTATAAACATGTACTGAACAACCCTGCCCTCAGTACGTCTAAACCGTGAAATTAATCTTTTCTAGCTTGCATTTTGATTCAGTATTTTGTGTTATCTAGAAACAGATGACTATTTTGAGCAAAGTGGTTTCTAGAACCACTTTACCCAGTTGGTTGTTCGGGTTTGTAATTCCGTAGTAACTGCCAATTCCATTACAGCCTGAACTCCAGTTTATTTCTGTACTTTGGGCTTACTCAACAATGGTAGAAACCTAAAACTAGTGAAGTAGTTAAGTCATCTGATACTCAGAACTCCTAACGTTTCCTCTTCTATCTTGTTTTTTATTTATTTTGCTGCTCAATTATACAAAACGTCTATATTCTGACATTTCCTAATTTAGAGGGGGGGTTATTTCATGATCAGTTCCTCTAAGGCTTAGCCTAGCAGCTTATAAATGTATCCCCAAACATTCTCCCCAGAAAACCATCTGGGTCGTGATAGTACTATCTGATAAATCATCAACTGAATTACTTTATATTCTAGCTAGACCATCGACTTCACAGATTCAAAAACCTGGGCACTGTCACTGTGCGTGTGTTGTCTCTGGGTGTGAAAACAGCAAAACAGAGAAAGACCATCATCTTACCTCACCACAATTCTACACACACAGAGACCCAGACATTTCCAGAGACCTGCGTCCAGCAGCACCCGGGTGCACGTTTGTGTACTCTGCCCTCCCTGATTTGATGGACTCATGTTAGGATGTGGAAGGTGTAACGCGGTTTAACTCTTCAGCAAAGCAGACCCCAGCTGCCAGCGCAGAATTAGGGAACTGGTCCTTGCTTTTAAATGTGACTTGCATCACACATTTTCTTACACTGACTTTTGATGCGGTTTACCTCCGCTCCCTGCCCACCTCACACCGTGTGCCGTGCCACGCACTCTAAAGCAGCCAGCCAGACTCCCGGTCTAGCAAGCAGGACCGAGTGGAGACCGCCACCGGCTCCTTCAGCAGCCCTGGGCGCAGGTGTGAGTTCTCCTGCCTACAAGGCTGAGTGTGGGCTATGCAAATCCACTGCAAAAGGAAGGTTTATTTTTGTCCCAACAAGTATCCACCCCACTCCCTTCCTGCCTCCAGCTGCGCCCTCACTCGGGCCGCAGACCGCCCACACGTGCCGGGTTCTCTCCACCCTCGAGCTGGGCGCCTACACTGAGACCGTTTTCCCCGGCTGGCTCTGAGGTCCAGCGACGCCTGGCTGCGCGCCGCCCCCGCGCCCGGCTCGGAGATGCTGCAGTACAGAAAGTTTACATCGCCCCGAGCCTCGCGGGGACTGCGGGGTCCGGCTGGAGCGCACTAGCGGCTTCCCCACGCTGGTCCGGGGCGGCAGGGGCCCCGGCACCCGGGGAGCTGAGCAGCTCGGCGGGGCTCGGCTGGGCTCGGCGGGAAAGGTACTCACTGTGAAACAGACTGCGTCCATGGATCATGTCTGTGCGTTACACCAGAGGCTCCGAGCTCCACTAATTCCATTTAGAGACGGGAAGACTTCAGTTGTGGGGGAGCGGATGGAGGAGTCCAGAGGTCTCAAATATGCAAACCGAGAACAAAATACGGGGGGGAAAGCGACAGAGAGATAGGAGAGAGAGAGATCCGAGCCCACACCGCAGCCAGATCCGAATCAGTCCGTCCTCCGCCGCCGGCTCGCGCTCGCTCACCGCCGCGAAGCCAGCATCCCCACCGGGACGCTCGCATCACACCCGGGCGCCGAGCGCCGTCGCCACCGCCGCGGGCAGCGGCCTCTTCCTTTGCATCACCGTCGCCGCCGCAGCTGGCAGAGGCACGCGCGGGCAGGCGGCGCGGGGCGAGCCCGGGGCGCCCAGAGCCGGAGCCTGGGCCGGGCCGGACCGGGCCGGGGAGCGGGCGGAGCGGGCGGGGGCCGGTCCCGACCGACGGCAGCGACGGCTGGGCTCGCTCAGTCCCCGGTCTCATACAGCGCGAGCGGCAGGTCGGAGCAGCCTCCCCGGGAGGATGTCCAGCGGCAGCCCTCCTCTCGCCAGCCCTTGGGGTTCTTCCGTTGAGGCATTGAAGACAGGAGGAAGGGGTCCGTCATGGGCTCGCCGGGCTCCGCGCCACCTCTGCGGTCTTGCAGAGAGAGGAGCGGGTGGGTGGGCGTCTGGGAGGAGGCTGGAGGGTGGCGGAGGGGAACGGGGGTGGCTCGAGGGGGCGGGGAGGGGGGAGGGGACAGGAAGATGGCAGAGTTACCAAGTGAGCGCCTTCGTCACAGCCCCGGGCTGCAGGACCCTCCAGGAAGCCCAGCGCCTCGCCAAAGTCGGGCAGCCGCGCGCGGCGGGCACCCCCAGGGCTGGTGCGCTGCAGACTGGGGCGGCGGCGACAGCAAGGACATCACAGCTGCTGGGATCCTGGGGGACGGGAGGGGGAGGGATGAGGACCGGGCTGGGATCAGTCCCTCTGCCGCCCGCCCGCCCGCCGGGGAAGGGGTGAGCCTGGCGCCTGCGAACCCCCAGCGGGACCCGGGCGCTGGGAGAGGCAGAAAGGAGGGGGCACCCCGCGCAAATCCCCTGTGGGCTTTGGGTCTTATACTTTTTAAGGGTTAGAAATTGCGGCAGGTCTGCCTCGCGCCCCTGGTCTTTTTTCCATCTGTCTAAGGGGAGCTGGCGCTGGCCAGCCCGCTGTCCCCTCCGGGGTGGAAGCTTCTCGGCCCGCGTCGCTCAGTCTGGACCCCGGGGCGGCGGTGCCGGAGGAGGGCGCAGGCTGTAAAAGTTTAGCGGCTCATCCCCGGGCCAGAGGCCGAGGCCGCTGCCTCCGATGCACCACCAGGACGCTGGTCCCGGTAATTTACCTTCCCTTCCTTAAAGGATTTAAAGCAGCCCCGAAGGCAAACACATTTTCCCCCCAGCCGGCACACAGGCGCGCGCGCGTCTTCGGCGCCTTAAACTCGGGGAGAAACGGACTTGGTAAAACAGCAGCCCCAGAAGAGCCGAGCTGGTAAAGAGCGAAGATCAGCAAGTCGCGAGAAGCAGCAGCAGCGCGGCGGGGGCCGAGCGCGCGGGAGCGCCAGTCCCTCCCCGGACGCCCCGGCGCACCGCCTCCCCGCCCAGGGCCGGCCCGCCCTCCTCGGCCTCTGCAGACTTCGCCGCGCCGGCCACCCCGGCGCCCGCCCGCCCGCCCGACCTCGCCCGCACACAGGGAGCCCGCGCCCGCCGTGGTCCCCCGGCCGGGACCTCCCCGAGCGCGCCGCTGACTCAGCCTCGGGGGCCCCGGATTGCGCTCCAGGTGGGGATGGAGGCGTTGGGGAGCCGGGGGTGGGGCGAGCTCAGGGGTGCGGGCTGCAGGCGGGGAGCTAAGCTTCGGGGAGTGGGGGGCTCTTGGGTGAGTCAAGGAGAGAAGAAAGGGCCTTGAAAGGAAAAGGAAAGCGCCGGGTATGGTTGCTGCGGCGGAGCTCCGGGCGGTCGCCTGCCCGCACCTGCTGCTGCGGTCCCGGGACGCCCACGTGGATGCGTGGGCGCGCGGAATACAGCAGCTCGCGGCGATCTCGCTCACATTTCCCCCAGCACCACGCCAGGAGAAGCTGTAGACCGGTCAATAAATTGTGACAAGGAATAGAGGGGTGAACCTCCAGGTCAAGAAAGGATTCCCGAGACTCAGACGCAACCTACAAGCCTCTAGTCACCAGCTTTTGGTTCCTGATCTCCGGGCAGGTGGCAGTCCTTGAGGGTGGGGTGTGTCCACGCGTTTAAGGACAGGTGGGCAGTTTCGCAGGGAGGGATCAGAGAGAGCTAGACGGAGCTCTAGAGCAAGAGTGAAGGACGCAAGGAAAATTTCGTGTGTGTGTGTGTGTGTGTGTGTGTGTGTGTGACAGACGGCCGCAGAGCTCCAACTCTACCAGAACCGGAGGCCTGAGCCTGCGCGAGGAGCTAGAGGCTCAAGAAAAGGAAACGGAGAGAGGATGGGTGGAAAGCCGGTGAGTATCTGCCCACCCAGCACTACCAAAAGGTTAACTGTGGGCGGTTACCCGGGGAGGGGTAGGATCTGGAAGCAGCGGAAGCCTGGGCCTGCGGAGGAGTCCCTCTCCTCTCCGGCAGCTTGCAGCTGGGAAAAAAGAATAGCGACCAACTCTGTTAGCAGGCTGCTTAGCCGAGTACCGGATGGATTACGAAGAATGTCTGGGAACCATTAGTTTGGATGCGGGTCACCTATGGAGAAGAGTGGGTGACCAGTGACTCAGTTGATGGTTTCATGCTGGAATCTTTCTTGAGAGTAGATAATCATTTTTTGCAATCAAATGTGCCTTTTATAAGAAAACGGGCGAAATTCGCCAAGTAAACAGTGTAAACACAAAGTTGTTTTTAGAAAATTTACTGCAGTTCTTAAAAGCATTTGAAGATGGAGGAACAAGTGGTTTTTTTTATGTTCACTTCTCATCTGGAGTACCTTTTCCCTTCCTTTCCCCAGATGTGTTTCCCTGGACACAGATTTTGGACTGCTGCTAGGGAAGTGGCCTTCCCAGATTGTGCTACACAGGTAGTGCTTGTCACAGAAGGGAAGATAAAGAAAATTCAAGAAAGAGATCCCTGGAAGGGCAAAAGGAGCCTAACCTTTCGCCACGCCCCTATTTAAAGTCAAATTCTCATTCTGGCCTTGACCTTGAATGTCTGCTGCAGGTCAGAGCAGAACTTGGGGCTGAGGAGTTGCCCATCTGCTCCATGTTCAGCGCCAAGAGTGAGTGGGCCCCTCCTGGATACTTGCAGGACAAGCCCACTGAGGGACCCAGTTACCTGAGCCTGAGCTGAAACAGGTGCCCCGCCTTTTGCTTTCCTCCCCTAATCTCCCCATACTGGAGATGCAACTTTCACTGGAAGACTCTAGCCCTGTTCTTTTGCACATACTCCTGTGCACACATACTTTAGCTCTACCACATCCTGCTTGCTGGTTGAGCTGCTTTAGTTTTGAGTCCCACAGTTATCACTTGCTGAGTGATGTTACTTTCCTTACAGAGGTCCATAGATTTTTTTTTTTTTCCTTTCTGAGAAAAAACGACCTATGAGAAATTTTCAGCTTTTCCGAAAGGAGGTGCATATGGTCAAATTATATGAGGTGGTTAGAAAGCAGCAGTTGATAAACTGATAGCTTGTAGGAGTTAAATATACTGTCCTCCGGAAGAGGATATGCTTATCAGAGTTGTCCAAAGTTAGCATTAAAAGTGACTAAACACAAGAAAATCCAGAATTAAAACTTTTTGAAACCAGTTAAAGGTCAGTGGTTTCTTTTTAGCTTGTCTCTCCATAGCAGATAGATTACAAAAGTTTCCAAAACTCTGAATGAATTGGTGTAGGAAGCTTACCTTTAAAATTCAAATATGCATGGTATTTGTCTGTGCATATAATTCTCTATAGAAAATAACAAACTCAAGGTTCTTTAAGACTACTATATTAATTCTTTCTGGTAGGACTGGCAACATTTTAAATATTTTCTATTGCTGAAGAGAGGATGTTGCAAAATAACTGAAAGAAAATAATGCCTCTTACACAGTACATATTGCAGAGTAGTTTCATTTATAAGTAATATTTTATTTAAATAATTACAACAAATGAAGGTATGTTTTTCCATTTATCAGTATACAAATTACAGTTCATTAATAATTTATTAAATAATTTCCTAGTGCGGTATTCGTGAAAATTACCTGCAATATTCTAAAATCAATCTGGTTTCTGGCAATATTGATGAAGCCATTTCTCTTCTATAATCTGTAGGTGTATCCAAACAAAGTGGAAAGTCAAAGTCTTTGAGTTCTTACATTTAAATCAAACAAAATTATTCTATGATGATGACTAGGGAAGTGTAAAGTATGGTTTCCTTAGAAATATGAGTATATTGAGTTATTAGCACAAGAATATTGGCCTCTTGTAGGCAAGAATTTGTTCGATTAATATTGCACCATTATTTTGTGATATGTAGTTAGTGTCCGATTTCTTTCACATCATGTCACAATTGTGCTCCAAAGAGAAAATGCTGTTTTCTACTTAAAATGTGAGAGTAAAAATAATTTCATGATATAGCAATCCATGGCAAAATTTTAGAAAAAAATATTTTCATTATGAACAGTTATTGACAATGGTTTATAAAAATAACAGAAAGCTTTTTCATCAGCAAAATAATTAGTTCTGTAAATCATCATGGACCAGAAGACAACTTCTGGTGATGTGACTGAAGATGGACGGGAAAGTGTGTGAAGGTCTCGCCTCGTAGCAAATACCTTATTACAACATCTATTTTTTGCTACTTTGGGGGAGAAAAAGACTAATTTTTATCACTTAAAAGGGATTTAACTGTATCTACAAGATACAAAGTAAGCTGAAAATAAATCAACATGTTACGTGTCAAAATATCTATTCTAAATACAAACTAAACATTAAAGTGGTAAGTTAGGTATGTAAATATTAGTTACTATGCAATATTCATTTTTATGCTTCATTATATAAATTAACAAGTCATGTAATTTTATTAACATTGGCTATTTGTAAGGACATAAAATATTATAATTTGTTATTTTGTAGATAAAAAATAATAATAAAAGCTAAAGCTTTGCTTGTTGAAATTAGCCCTGGATATTAAGGTAAAAGAGATTATATATCTAGCTAACAAAAACATTTTGAGGAGAGAAGTATGTTTTGGTACATGAAAGTAAATAATGAAAAAAAACCTTGCTATTTTTAAAAACAAAACAGACAAAAATACCCTTGATAGATAACATTTGCAAGACAAGAAAAGAGACATGAAATAGCTTTCTTCCCAGTTTTAGGGTAGACCAAGTTATAAAATAGTATAATATCAGAGAACAGCAAGACAGCAGTAGCATTTTTGTCAAGTGGCTATGACTATGTTGATTTTCAAAAACGTGGAGAAAATATCATATTGAAGTAAATTATGTAAACTAATCATGCATTTAAATTAGCCTTCAATGTAGTTTTCTAAATAACATACAAAGCTATTTTATTGATGTACTTCTCTATAACATAAAAAGTTTTATTTTAGTTATTACCAGATTACCTATCATTCATGACATTGATCACAATCAATTTTCTTCTGAAGCGCTTTCTAATGCAATGAGAAATAAAAGTGTCTTGTAAATGACAGAAAGCAGTAATATTCCAAGATGAACCCCAAAGTTAGTGAAGACTGAAAGAGAAATTAGGGAAACAAGACTGAAAGAGAAGAAAAGGGGGAGTAATTTCTGTAGATGCACAGGTATCAATTTGGATATTTTACATAAAATAGATTATTTTCTTTTGGAGATTGTAGGATAGAAAAGATCTTTCAAGTTCTTATGTGAAACTTAGTTTTTTCAGCGGCTTATTTTTTTAATTTAAAGAGAAAACATAAAAATGATAGAGCATTTCAAAATGAGATAATGGAAGAATAGCAATGATTAATATAGTGCATATTATCTTTGAAATAGTTGCTCAGATTGCAAGGTATAGGCATAAAAGATCAAACAAACACAAACTTCTTTTCAATTAACTAACAAAAAGTACTATAATTATCTTAGCTAATCTGTACCATTAATCTTCTGGTCTTTTTTTTTTTTTTTTTCCTAGTACCATGCTGATTTTATCACAGTAGCATTGTAACTTAAAATTATAATTTTAAGTCAGGATTTGTGATGCCTCCTACCTTGACTTTGTTGCTCAGGATTGCCTTTGCTATTCTAGGTCTCCTGTGTTTCCAGATAAATTTTAGGAATTTTTCTCTAGATCTGTGAGATATGCTAATTATACTTTGATCAGGATTCCATTGCATCTGTATTACAGTTTTGGGAGCATGGCCATTTTCACTGTGTTGTTTCTTCCTATACATGAGCAAAGTATATCTTTCCAGTCTCGGATATCCTCCTTAACCTCCTTTTTCAGAGTGTTGTAACTTTCAATGTATAGATTTTTTTACTTCCTTTATTCGATTGATACTTAAGTATTTCATCTTTTTGGATGCTGTTATGTGTGATGTTTCTCTGATTTCTCTTTCAGTGAGTTTGTTGTTTGTGTAAGGAATACTATTGATTTTTAACTGTTGATTTTGTATACAGCTCTACCACTGAATTTAGTATTTAAATCTAGAAATCATTTGGTGGAGTTTTGTGATCTTCTTTATAGAGTATCATGTCTCTTTGACTTCCTTTTCTATCCTGATTCCTTTTACTTTTCTCTTGTCTGATTGCTCTGGCTGATGTTTCTAGAACTCTATTGAATAAGAGTGATGATCGTGGATATCCTTGTTTTGTTCCTGATTTTAGAGTAAAAGCTTTGAGTTTTTGTCTGTTTAGTATGTTGTTGGCTGTTGGTTTTTCATAGATGGCTTTTATCAGATTGAGAAAAAGACCGTATTTCCTATTTTATGTAGTTTTTGTCATGAATAAATGTTGGACTTTATCAAAAGCTTTTTCTAGCAGCCTGTGTTCATCCCAATAAGCCAATGGTAATTCCATTCATATTCCTCTGTCCTGAACTTCTGCTTAATTCTGTAATAAAAAATCTTCACCCCTCTTTGCCTTTTCATTTGCACTAACATACAGTTTTGTTCCTATTTCAACGTTTTATAATACTAGTTCTTGCCATTTAGGGGACAGGACACAGCTATCATGTTTTAGGCCTTATTTGACTCATTCCCATATGCATTTCCATTAGTAACATTTCATGTTACTCTGTTACAATTTTAAAAATGAAGAAAATCAGACCAAAAGAAGTGCTGTGATTTCTACATTGTCACTTAATATGTAATATAACCGGTACAATCCCATATCTTCAGATTTATTAGCAAAAAAAGTGCTGGATTGCTTTACATGACTTCAACAAAAGATTGACATTTTCTGTATTTTGACACCTGCATATTGTTAGCCAGAGTACAAATGCTACAGGAGCCAAGCCATTGCCGAAATAATCACTGTGAATGAAGGTTGGAAAAATATATTCCTAAAAGCAACTAATGAAAATAGCAAGTGCATTGTGGAGAGCAGCATACGGATCAGAAATCCCTTGGTATATAGAAAGGAAAAATGGAAGAAATACAGAGATATTGTTATTGCAAAGTACTACTGAAATCACACCAGAAGAATCATAAGGAGAAAGCAAGTGGATAAATATTACATGTTATCTAAGGTAAATAGTAATAACTTGACCTGTTAGAAAAAGTATGACTTTTTTAAATGTTTGAATATGATGTGTAGAGAGTTAAGAAGACTGAAATAAAAACACTTTATTGAATGCCAGGTAGATCAGTTCAGAGATCCGTAATAGTCACTTAAAACTTTTTTAGCCTATATACTGTCCTCTGTAGGCCAGGGATAATAGCACACACAACTATTTAATAATCAAATGAGAAAAGTACAACACTTAGGAATATGACAATTGTCTCTGCTGCTTATTTCAGTGGTTATGTCTGTGTGTTTGTACCTATGTTATCCAGCCATACCTTTTCCTGGTTTAATAGCATGAGAGAAAGAGCAAAGAGCAAAAGAAGATGCGGCTGCCTTCCCATTATCCCCTTTGAAGACATGCCACACCGAATTAATTTCCTTCCACCAGGATTCACGTCTTAAAAATTTTGCCTTTTAATAGTGCTGCAGGCTGGGGATGAGCCCTCGAGACATTGTCTTTGGGGGACAGTTAAGATCAAAGTCATAACGTGCTGACAGCCACCTGAGAAAGCTTAGTATGTACACTAAGAAAATTCAGTATACATCACAGGTTAGCTTAATAGCTAATACAAATGAATGTGAAAAAATCACGTGGAACTAAAATAAAGTGGTGTCCTAGCTTGGGAAAACGAGCGGGTAGACCTATGAGAAGGACATGCTCAGAAGAACATGAAGAGCTCTGGATATAGATTTTTCAGAAGGAGAACTTTATAAAAATGTCACTATCTCTGCTTTGCTTTTAACCAATTTAAAAATTATATGGATTTCCTACAGACATAGCTAGAATACTATCCATCAGGTACAAATCACATTCTCAGATATCTGATCAAGTTGCCTTTTTTCCTTGGGATAAAGCACAAGAATTCGAGGGCAAAAAGCCTTTAAGAATATCAGTGTCATATTTTCTATCTGAGGAATTATAGGGTAGATCTTACAATGTTCTATTGAAATATCTGCTGAATTTTTAATCAGAGCTTATATATGCAACTTTGAACTAAAACTTGAAGTCCTGTTTCATTGGATATCCCCTGAATTTCACACTTTTTAAGTCATTCTTTAATGTTGGAAGCATTTCACCATCTGAACAGGCTACTTTTGAGCTGGAAGCATAAGGACAAGAAGAAAGCTGGGTACGATGTCAAAGGAGGGTAACACAGCCAATTTGCAGAGCCATGGAAATAGTACAGAATAATCATCATCATGTTTGCTCCACGCCTATTCCTCTTGGGCAACTACAAAAGAATTCAGAAGCTTTAGGACAACAGTAGTATCTGGGACAAGGATCTGATGAGATGAGTTACATGGACCATCAAACTACAAACATCTCGTAAGCTCAAGGGGAGAAAAGAAACTGATACTTGGAATTGTTTTCTTATTGATGTTGATGTTTTCTTAACATAAGCATCAAGGTGTGGTAGCCGCTGATCCCAAAGGGATAACAAATTATTTCATATTGCATAGGCACTATGAAAGGAAAACCACATATATCATCTATATAAGCATAAGAAAAATGCTCACCAAAACAAGTTGTTGAAAACTTTAGGAAATTACAAAGATGTAATAGAATATTCTCACCCATGGACACAGTAATTCCTTCCTCCATAGATAATTGTTTCTTTACAACATGACCTTGGTGTTTTGCCTTAAAAACAATCAGCTTGAATTCTACACCAACTAAACCTTGTCTTAGCTATGTGGTTTACTTTGCCAATAACACTGCAAACATGACTCAGCTAGTGACTTGGCAAGTGCTTGCAAATTGAAGCTTTCATTCTTGCTAGAGAGAAGTGTTCTATTATTGTTGGAAAAGTCATGCAGAGTCTTTTGGAAGATGGAAGACAAGAGTGATGCCACTAGAAATCCCTGACACGAAGCCCCAGCCAACCATCCCAATCTGCAAGAAATTTTGGTGAGATAACTTTAGCAAATATAGCACTAAATAAACTACAAAATATTGATCATGTTTCTTTGGAGTTCTAGTGCCTCACTTATCTGTATGTTGAATTCTTTTTCCATTTTTGTAAAATTTTATGCTATTCTGTAAGCAGACTTTTATGCCCTGTGTACTGAACTCACATTTTTCACTAATTAATCTTGGATTAGTCTTTTTTGTATCACCTAGCAACTGTTGGACCCATTTTTTCATATTACCTTTTTATTTTTAAGAAATCTCTCATTAATTGATCCTTGACCATAGCCCTGTCTTCTATGTGTGACATTCTGTCCTCACATTGGTCCCTTCAAAGAATTTTTAATTTCTTGCATTCATGCTAGAACTTTTTATGGACTCCAATTATTTTCAGATAAGAATTTAGATTTTGCATATCTTCCTTTAGCTCTCATAGTTTACTTTATTGGTGTTCTCTCTAAACTTTCTGTGTAATTATGTGTTTGGTTAATCTTCTTTGAATTCACCAAACACCTGTTGATCTGTTTTGTTATGGCCACCGTTATCCTTTCAGTTATTTCAACTCTGTGGCTTTTGATTTCCTCTCTTTCAATGACCCCTGGTGTTTATATACAGTGGAGTATTAGAGGAGAAACTTGAGTCATTCATAGGTAAATGGATGCGCCTTGATACCATAATATTAAGAGAAATGAATTGGACACTGAATTTTAAATATTGAATGATTTATCTTGTGTGAGAAACTCAAAATATAAATACAGAATAGAACAAAAGCCATGTTAGAAAGTAAGAGGCTCTTCATCAAAGGGGAAAGGAACAGAGGAGTAAAGAAGGGGAGGAAAGGGAAAGGGGGTTAAAAAAGAATTAAGGAGAAAGAAGACATAAAGCTTTTGTAAATGAGAAAAGCACTAACAGAAGAAACAGGGAGGAATGTGAGGGGAAAGGGTGAAAAAAGAAAAAAAGATTTTTTTTTTGTCTTTTTTCTTTTTATTGGTACCAGGGATCGAACTCACGACTGCCTGCTTGCAAGGCAGGCGCTTATGACGCTGAGCTAAATCCCCAGCCCTGAAAAAGACATTTACATTGAGTTATGTCCATGTACCAGCTCCCACAATAAATGTAATCCTTATTAGCAAACACGTACTAATCAAAAATGATGACTGTTGGCAGGTGCATGCTTGTAATTACTTGGAGGCAGAGACAGAAAGATTACTATGAGTTTGAGGCCACCTTGTTCTACACAGTTAATCTAAGGTCAGTATGAACTACATCATGAGACTCCCTCAAAAAAAATGACTTTTGAAAGGTACTTTAAAAATCAATAAGTGGATTGAAATGGGCAAATTTCTAATACCTTCCTAGAAAACAGGAAAATATATGTAGAGAATAAATATAGAAAGTTATTCATACATACATCCCACAATGCAACAAAGGTAAAGTTGTATTTCAAGTTAATAATAATATAAAAAGTCATAAGAAGTTAGACAAAAATACATAGTTTACTAATATATTTGAGAGAAAAATCCAAAACTAGAATCAAATTTAAGAAATCAAAAACAAAATTCTAAAAGATTATGCCTAGAAAAATAGGAAACAACAATATTGGAAACAAACATAGATGACCTCCATCCAGTAAAGGACAAGAAATAGATGGATAACAATCTCTTGAAAAGAAACACCTTGCACAAAAATGTCAGTAGAGATATATCATTAAGATGTGAGAGAGAAAAACATTCTTGAACTTAAATTTATGTTTGAAAAGTATTACTAAATTCATGAGTGGAAAAGATCTTCACTGTGCTTAATTTAACAAAGCATGAGGCAGCCTGAACAGACACACAATCCCAGTACTCTGGGCGGTGAGAGGGGATTGTTCATTTTAGGTCCAGCCTGAGCAATTTAGCAACTAACTTAGAGTCTGTTTCAAAATTACAGAAAGAAAAAATACAAAAAGAGCTGGTATTATAGCACAACGTGAAGTTCCCAAATCAATACCCAGTGCTATCCCTCCAGGAATGTCTTTAGGTGACACATTATGGTAAGAAAAAATGACTTAAACATTGCAATGTGGAAGGAAAGGTCTAATGAAAATTCATTTTTTGTCTAGATAAACAGTAGAAATCCATGTGTGTTATGGTTAAGATGGAGAGGACATAGAGAGGAATGTTCTAAGTTTCTTATCCTGTTTGGATTAAAGAAATATAAACACTGAATATCACTTCTAGGGAATCCTAGTTACATTTAAAGAAGTTTGGTAATCACAATAAGCATTAAAGTGTAAAATGTTCATGCCAGGGAAAATTCAGCACACCCAATGGAAGATACTAGTAAAAAAATAAAAATAAAAATAACTAAAGCAAAAGAAACACAAAAGAAAGAAAGAAGCAACAATTTTGAGGTTTGTATGGTTGCAAACATTGAAGAATGACAAATAAACATGGGAATACATCCATAACATAGAGAAGTTAAATTACTGACATTGCTTACTAACTCTTAACAATATAAAATACGTAAAATATATAGATGAACAAATGCAGGATGATATGAAATATATCAAGTATGCAGGAATATGTGAAATAATTAGAGTCATTAGATGAGAAGATAATCCATGTAAAATTTACTATATGATAAATTTTAGCTCAAAGGGCTTAAAATTTACTTTTTCACACGGTTCTCCAGAATCCCGATATTTAAAAGAGGAAAAACTATAAAATTGATTTCCTGAGATTAGTATAACCTTAGAATCAAATCTGTCCATGTATAGTGCACTCTGGTGCCAAATTTCCTACCATTTTTCCCGTTGGCCCTCATGACGCAGTGCATAACATAGTTGGGTAATCTCCAGCTACGGGTAATGACAGACATTGCTCCCAGGCTATTGTCTGGCTGTTGGACCCCTCTTTAACTAGGAGTATGATAGCGAGAGAAGCCAGCATCATTACATCAATGACTGTCAAGATCTCATCTCTCTCACATTTCACAAAGTACAATTAGTGAGTCTCAGCCTTAACCTGGCTTCCAGCCCCCCACCAGGATTAAGGACTAATTTCACAGGGTAGTGATGTGCTTCTAATGAACACAGCACATCTTCCTTTTCTGGTCTCAGTTTATAATATCTTACTGGTATTTTCTGGAAGAACTTCCAGAAGAATTTCTTATACTGATACATTTATTCTGAGTGTTTTTGTAGTAACAGATGCTCATTTTGCTAAAAAAGATAAAACCACTGGTATACCAAATATACTCAGAATGCAGAGCTTTAAATTAACATGTGTGCCCTCACTGACCATCCATAACAACATACTTGTTTGTGGGGCTAATCGTTTTTGTTTATTTGTTTGTCCATTTGTTTATTTTGTTTGTTTGTTTGTTGTTTTGTACCAGGGATCAAACTCACAACTTTACACTTGGCCAAAACCCAGCCCGGGTGGGGCTGATTGAAACTGAGTCCTCCAGCAGGATACTGTAACACTATTCCTAGGAAATTTGCCTCTGGAAACTGGGGATAAAAAATAGAACCAGTTGCCCTGGTTTATGTCATATTTTTTTCTGTCTCTGTATTTAAGTCAGTCTCAGGGAAAAAATAGTATGCCAAGATCTGTGAGGCCTGTGATTGAGAATGTTGGACCCTTGCTTGTTCCAAAAATTTTGGAACAGCACCAGAGTTTCACTAGGAATAGAAGCCTCCTCTGGCCTCAGAGCTATGTCATTTCCTTTAAGGCAAGCTCTACAGAGGATGAAGTGTTCTTGCACTCCTCAACATCAGGGCTCACCTTTTTCATTGCTTTTAAACCAATAACAAGGTTTAAATTGCAGAATATCTTAACTGGGGAAGTCCTCTGTCCTTTGGGAAATCAGATTATTAGCATAACCTGAGGTTATGAAAACACTGCACACCTTCAAAATTAGGATTTCCTGCTGATTTATTGTTAAACATTATTTCCTTGAAACTTCGTAGCTTATTATTTTATTGTTAGTATTTACTTTGGGTGTTCTGCCAAATCATTAATTTCTTATTCATACTCCTTCATATGAAATATATCTCACTGATATTTATATTTTGCTCTATTATCTTAGTGTCTCAGTCCAGCACCTACTAATTGAGCCCCACATCCTCTTAATAATTAGGCTGGCCTCTGAGCAGAATCTAGACTTCCTCAGTTCAGATGTGCTGACCTTGAACTTATTCAGTGGTCTAGAATTAAAGAAAGGAAATAATGTAAAATTTCAATCATGAGATAATGAGTGATTTGCCTTTTTCTCTTTCATAAAATTAATATTTCTCTGAGCAATTATTTGGGCCAAATAATTAAGAACAAGTCATAGCACTGATCATTATCTTAGTTACTTCCTTTTTGCTGGAACAATATACCCACCACCCATAACCTAAGGAGAAAGGATTTATTTTGACTCACATTTCGTAGAGATGTCAGTCTACCACCACTTGGTTTTAAGGCAGAGTAACACGGCTGGAGAAAAACAGTTTGTGGCATGGCAAATAGCAGAGAAGCAGAGAGCTGTTGAGGGAGGGAGAGGTATATACATCCTTCTAGGCAACACTTACACTGACCAACCTCTTCTCTAGTGGCTTCATCTCCCAACATCACAATCAGCTACGAAGCCATCAGTAGACTAAATCCAAAGCCACATACCCGTGATCCAGTGTTGCACACTCTGCCCAATCACCTTCCCAAATCCCCATCTTTGAGGCTTTGCGGAACATTTTTTATATAAACCAAGACAGATACTGAGTAAATAAAACACTTTCATTTACAAATTTTTATGCGACATTACTTGATGAATTTGAGGTAACTACCATGGTGGTGCAACCAGAAGCCTTACATTTAACCTGAAATTTTATCTCAACTGTTAAAATCGGGAAAATATTCATAATTGTTATAACTTTTAAAGGCTTCAGCCCATAAGGACAATTTCCAGCAATTTCAGGAGATATTATTTTCAATAAAACTTTGGTCATGAGTGTTGCTTTAGAGGGTAGACAACAGTTTTATCTACTTAGTATTTTTAGTTTTTTAAAATCAGTTTATTCAAATGACACAGTCTTTCAGGGTACAATAAAGCCCTTACATAACATCTATTTTTGGGGTTTTTTTTTTTTTTTTTTCTTCTCGAAACGATTGTTGAGTAAATAGAGAGCAGACTTGCAAGGGAAAAAATAAGGTCATATTCATTCTCGAAGATGCTGTACTGCAATGACAATTTGTTACACAGCCACAGAATGTTTTGTACAACCAAGGCCAGTTTGCCCTGGCAATAATACCAAGTTACTTTTGAAAAGAATGAAAGTATTATTTCCTAATAATTTGATCTATGAAAAGTAGGGGAAAGGGTTGATTAAATGAAAAACCAGATATATAACCGATGGATTTATAGGTGGATTGACAATAGACGATACATAGATAGATAAACAGATGCGTGATATATAGATAGAGAGAGAGAGAGAGAGAGAGAGAGAGAGAGAGAGAGAGAGAGATGAGGGAGCTGGGGAATACTAGTATTTAAAATCCAATAATTTATTGTTATTGAGAATTTACTTTTAAGCACTCTCTTATACATCTTTTCTAATTAAGGATTTTTTTGAAAATATATGTAGTTTAATGGTAGAACACATTTTTGTTGTTACTACTAGCAATAAGGATATTTTAATAACGTATTCTTAACATATATAGGTTTGATTCACAAGTTTTTATTTTAGGCACACTATGAGAACTCATAGTGACACACATAGGAATCGAGGTGTTTAGATAGAAAAGCTTGTTCTGGAATACTAAGTATAAAATTAAAGTCTGTCACTACAAGCAGCACTTGGAAAAAATGGAAAATGAAATATAGCTTTTAAAAGAATTATTGCTATATAATGTGTCCATTTTGATTAAATAATAAAAATGTATGACATAATCATACGTTAATGTCTGATTTATTTTGTAAGCTACTCTGAGACATGTTGAAAATGGAATTTACTTTAATAGAGCTACTGAAACTTAGCTCTTATCCCTTATTACAGTTATTTAACAATAGCTATGTTGTACATTGTAGAACTATTTGAAATCAAAAAATGTATTGATTCCTCCTAAAATTATAAACCTTAAATATAACTCAGCACAAGTTTGGGTTTGTGTGGAGGTCAGTTAAATTATCTGTTGACACATATTTAACTGGAGAAAAAACTTCGAGTTGTGAAATTACTTTCTGGAATACAATTTGTCAGAAACTCACATAGTCTTTTTTCAAGGACACTTAAGATGTAAGAGGAAAAATATATATCAAGAAATCATGTTTCTTTGTTATAGAAAACGTTATTTGATAAGGAAGTGAAGGACACAGTCATGCATACACAAACAATCTTGCAAATTATCAACACAATGAAACAGAAGTTGAACACGGATTAACTTATTTCTTCTATGGGCTCACATTGAAATTGAGGACAAGATTTCTGCTTTGAAGAGAGTTTGTCAGAGAACCAATTCTCAGGGTGTATGATACCTGTTTTGATTACAAACTTCTATAACCCTCAAAATGTTTCAAATTTCCCAATTGATATGTCTCCCCTTTTAAACATGTATGGCAAGTTGCTTAGGGACAATAAAATAAAACAGAAATGCATGTTTTGATAATTCATAGTACATGATAGGGTGTAATTTGTGGTAAATTATTTATCATAAAAGGTACTGGTTTATTCTTTTTAAAGAAAACCTTTGCTTTCTATCAAATTGTAGAAAAATAAAATGTGTTTTATGTTGCAGAATTAGGTATGTAAAAAAATTCCCTGAAAAAATATGCAAGAGACAAATATATTTTATTATTTTAATTTTGAAAATTACTGCATCTTTGCACTGAAAATTTTGCTAAGTATATAATTGTAACTCATAAGAAAATTGATTTTATGCCTTGTAGTCCTGGTGCTAGTTGTTACTGGTAATTTTGATACTATACTCATTCTTAAAGCTTGTGTACTTTTTCATCACTGGTGAATTTCAGCACTTCCTCTGTTACATTCATAAGGCACACAGTAAACATACATTTTAATCATAAAATTTGATTTTTAGCTCTAGAGACAAGAAAGAAAAACAGAGGCAGAAAAATGCATACCAAAATGATGCTATGAATCTTGCTTTTGCTTGAGTGTGTTCCTATTCTGAATTTTTTCACAATTAACTCATTTAGTGAGATGATGAAAACATTGAACTTAATAATAAAAAGAAATCCACTTATTAAAATATGTATATGCTGCATTACCAGGCAACATACTTAACTCAAATTCCTGTTTATTTCCCATACTTCTGTTTTTATCAATTAAGTAAACTGATGCATAAACTCCATAGTTTGGAAGTGAGCACTGCATCCTGTCTCTTTGACAATGATTAAATTACCAGTTCTTTTCTAAGTCAGTCTTGGTCAGGAATCAAAATGTCTAATTAAATAATTCGGTTCCTTCCCTTTCAGGGCAAGGTTTTCCTTTACAACATGACCTGATGAAATTATGTTACTCTGATAAGGTTTCTGTCTTGATGCAGAAAACCTGAAGGGAATTAATCCAAAGAAGAAAAGGTTCATCTTGGTGTGGTTTCACTTGGCTACATTGCTTCTGGTGCCATGGTAAGGCAAAAATAATCATGGTGGAGTCTGCATAGAGAACCAAGCATTTCACTTGGGGGTGAGGGGCGTGGAGAACTAGTGAACATGTCAGGAACAAAATGTACCCTTAGAAGCATGCCCTCAGTAACCTACACCCTTCAAATAGGCCCCACTTCCTAAAGTTTCTGCCATCTCCAAGTGATGCTATCAGATATGAAGCTATCATATCTGGTTTAATCTATTGAGAGCTCTCATGATTTACCCACTTCCCCAAAACTCTATCCCTGAACGTGGTTGTACTAGGGGGCTGTCTTAGTCACTTTTCTTATTGCTGAGACCCAACACCCAGAGTTCAATGAGGAAAGATTTATTTTGACTCACAATAGAGGTTTCAGTCCATAGCTGGTTGGCTCCAAGTAAGGGTGACATGGCAGAGGGGTGTCATAGAGGTGAAAGAGTTCTTGGTAAGCAGAAGACAGGAAAGCAGCAGTCTGTCCCTTCGTTGCATCCTGGCCTTCAGAAGATGCCACCCGCACCTAGAGTGGAGCACCATTAATCCCAGCACCACACACTCTATGTCCAGCCTCTCCAAATAAATCCCACCTATGGTGGCATGAGGCTTTGGGGGGACATCTAGACACAAGCCATAAAAGGGACCAAGTCTTAAACACGTGAACCTATGGAGAATATTTCATATCCAAATTATTACTATCATGTGCTGTCTCTCATTCTCTGTTTAATTAATGCAATTTATATTTACTGACCCTACTATACCTTTGCATATTAGCTATATTGAGCATAGATAATTTTCCTTGTTTCCCTCATAATACCCCTCTCAAAAGAATAATTCTGGATTTGATAGAGTAATAAATACATAAGACACTGGACTTCAGGTGAGAACAATAAAAGGGTGAGCATGTGGGAGGTATGAAAGATGAGATCAATTATTGATACATGTGTTTCACTGTCTGTATAAGATAAGCACAGAAATGGATCTAGAGGACATCTAGAGAGAGGTCCTTATAGTGTTTGTGTCCCCATTAACTGTTCACTGCATTTCTAATAATTCTACTCTGATTTTAAGATGGTATTCATTTCTTTTCTCAGATTTTAAACAATCTAAACAATTTAAATGGTACCTTTTTTTTTTTTTTTTTTTTTGTGGTACCAGGGATTGAACTCATGACCTCACATTTGTCAGGCAGGCCCTTATGCCACTGAGCTAAATCCCTGGTCCTGGAGCATGCTACCTTAACCATTCCCAATTATCAGTTTGGATTAGAGTGGTAGTTACAGAGACTGAGGAGAGAAATGTGTAAGTGAAGAGGAGAGGTTAGTCAGTGGTTACTAAGTTATAGTAAGACAAAAGTAAGAAGTCCTACTGTATTATATTGCACACTGCTGTGGATAATGATAATATATTGTACATTTCCAAATGATATATGACAGATTTCAAAGTTTTTATTACAGGTAAAATATAAATGAATAAAAGAATAAGGGATAAAGCTTTTACTATGAATAAAAGATGAATGCTTGAAATGATGTAACTGATGTAAACATTGTACAATGAGCCAAATCAGGTAGAACGTGCCTGCACACTCTGGGCTGCTGAGACAGGAGGATCACACGTTCCAGCCAACCCAATGAACCTGCTAACTTACTGAGACAGCATCTCAAAGGTATAAATAAATAAATAAATAAATAAATAAATAAATAAGACTGAAGATGTAGCTCAGTGCAAACACCCTGATCTCAATTCCCAATGCCACAATAAATAAAGCTACAAACACGGAATACATGTATCAAAACATTATGTTACTTTTATATTTTTTCATGGATTCAAAAATATTTAATTTCTAAAATTTTTAAGCACCTCAGATCAAAATTATTTCTATTAGCTCTGCTTTTTGGCTTGTACCTTGATTCTCAGCAAGATCGTAAATCTGCCCCTTTGCTTCAATGTTCATTTTGTCATTGTACAAATGCATGAGCCAGTATGAAGCTGTAATAAATCAACATGAAATAGATTGTTTAAAATATGAAAGCATTATTTTTAACGGACAGGACAAAACTTGTATTTTTATTGACCTCAAATCCATATACAAATAGTTCTAAAGTAATTGTGGATATAAAAATAGCAGCATGGAACTGCCATTTTATTTATTTTTTCTTCTAGACAGAAGTGAAATCAGGAGAGGAACAGGATATAGGTGATCCATAGTCCTTACTTCATTGGGCTAGGAATATACTAGTCAGATAGAGCAGAGAGTCCAGACATACACAGTGGGGCGAGGATAATGTCAGATGGTTCTGGAGGCCCATATACAGAAGAATGAAACTGAATGTTTATAGCATAAAGAAACAACTCAAAATAGCTTAATATTTAAACAAAATACCTAAAAGTCTAGAACAGAACATTAGGTAAGGTCTTCATAATGTTGGTCTTCACAATAATTTTTTAACATGACAATAAAAGCACATTCAACAAAACCAAAAACAGACAAGTGGTTCAACTGCACACTAAACCAAAAATCAAAACAAAAATTAAAATAGCAACAGAAATTTTCTTCTGCATAGCAAAGGAAAAACAGAGTGAAGAGACAAACCATACATGCAATGAGGTGAATATATCTAATATGTATGTAAGAAACGTTTACAATAAAATAGGTAAATTATAACAACATAAAATGAGCAAAGGAAGAGACATTCCTCTGAAGAAAAGATACACATTCCCAATAGGTCTATGAAATGACGCTCAAGGATGCCAATTATTGGGAAAATGAAAATCAAACAGCAATGAGATACAGTGTCACAACTTCTCCTATAGCTGTTATACAAAACCAAAAGAGATGTTTTAGGAAGCAATTTTTACCTGTCTTGAACCATTGATAGATCAAGGATCCATTATGGAAGACAGTATAGCATTTGCTCAAAAATTAAAAATAAAACTATCACAGGACCTAGTGATGCCCTTGCAAGGATTCATTCAAAATAAATGAAAGCAGAGTGTTGAGGAGATGCTGGAGAAAATTATTTTAGTTAGCATATTATATTGTGGCTAAAGCACTAGCCTTGGACTTTCTGTTTTATGATCATATAGGTCCAATTTTGCAAAAGTTTATTTGCAATGATTTATTCTCTTTTGCATAGATAGCAACTTGTAATTGATGTAACACTGTTTAAAGTCATTTTTCTGATGGAATCTCATTCAGTCAGGTTGTGCAGCAGTGGCCTAGCATGCAACCCAAACTCTAGGTTTCATCCTAATCAGACAAGATCTTGAACATGAAGAGCACAGATCGTCAGTTGATAATTAGGTTGTTAGGTTATGCGGTGTTTCCCCCTAAAAGAGTTTTTTTTTTCTTTCTTTCCAGAAAGAAATCATTGGAAGGAACACATAATATGAAATGAATATTCTCCACACATTTCAAATGTATGCTGCAGAATTTTCAGTAATAATTGAGATCTATCTGCTGTCATGTAGATCGCAACAATTTATACATTTTAAAGATTAGCTGAAATGTTATATGCACTGAAGAAGAACTCCACATTTCTCTTCTTAGATACTTCATATAAATGGAACCATGGAGCATTTTTCCTTCTGTAACTGACTTTGTTCATTTAGCATAATGTTCTCACGATGCATTCATTTAGCATATAACAGAATTCTTTCCTATTTAAGATTGAATAATATTCCATTGTATGCATAAATCAAATACATCTTTAGTCTTTCATCTGTCCATGGACATTTATCCTGTTTCTAACTCTTTCCTAGTTTAAATAATGCTGTCATGAACATGGGAGTGCAAATGTCTTTTTGAGTGCAATTATTTTGCACTGTTTGCAATTGTTTTGGATAAAAATCCAGCAATGAGTTGTCAAATCCTATGACAGTTCTATTTTTAGTATTTTGCATAACTTCATACTATTTTCCACAGTGGTCATATCATTTTACCTCTCCACCAACATTATAAAAAGATTCTGTATTCTCTCATACTTATACTTGCTATTTTGTTATAATAACAGGTAAAAGGTGTTATTACTTTGTAGTTTTGATTTACACTTCTCTGATAATCAGTGACATTGAAAATCTGTCCATACACTCACCTGCTGGTTATTTGAGTATCCTGTTCTGAGAAATATTGAGTTCTTTGTTTACTTTTTAATCTCTGTCTGTGTGGTATTTACTATACATTTGTAGAATTTTCTCACATATTTTGAATGTTTATCCTTTATAAAATAAATCGTAGGTAATTTTCCCCATTTTCTAGGATGCCTCCTCACTCCGTTTCCTTTGCTATGCCAAAGACTTTTAGTTTGATGTAGCCCCAGATATCTATTTTTGTTTTTATTGCTTCTCTTTTTATTGTATGTATTTAGTTAAATGTGTGATTTATCAAAGTCATATAACGTTATTGAACCATATACTTATTTATATAAAAATTTAGTAATTAAGTCATGCACTCTTTTAAGTAATTTACATATGCTTATGTATAAAAAATAATGAGCTATGTGTATTTTATCCGTTTTCCAGATGAAAATCCTGGAGACAGTGAATTGGTTGATATAACAAGGAGGCTGTTTTGCTGCAAAATCTGTATATTTAAGTATTAAGTCATGCTGTGTCTCTGCTTCTTGATGAGTTGCTTAATTGAATAAATGACTGAATGATGTGTACATGGGTTAACGACTAATGAAATGGAAAGAGTACTGATACAGTAATCAAATAAAAATGTTAGAGGTGATGTTCATCTTTTAAAATAATTGGTAGAATTGTCACATAAATATGTTGGGAATAAAGTCTGCTTGGAAAGCTGAGTTAACAAAAATACCCTCTGAAATTCTATTACTTGCTTATTTTAAAGGACACATTCATTGCCTGTGTTCTTGGTAAATAATTTTTTTTTCTAAAGTAAGAAAACCAAGCATTGAGCAATAAGATATTACAACACACCTTTCATCAAACTATAACCTCACAGATAAAACCACCCCAATTACATGTAAGCAGTTGCTCTTCTGGGGATGTGTAAGCAGGTGGTCCTTTGATTACTTTGTGAATGGACCAGCTTAAGGCTAAGGTCAGTGTTTGATGGCAATGTGGAAAGTTTTGAATCTTGTTATTGATAAGTTCATTGCATTCTTCTTATTCTTAGAAATTTCAGTAATAATAAATGCAATTATTGTTTGAATAATTTGATTTTGCCATATAGCATTCAGCAATTTTTTCCAGTACCAACTAGAATTTAGAATCGGATTATATAGCTTTAAAAATCATGCTAAATTTATGTAAAGAGAGATATTTAACCATCAGCAATAAAAAACTAGGAGCATTGATACCTTGAGAAGATAATCTCCGACATCCACAATAAAGTGTGTTAATGTATTTTTAAAAATACAACATAAAATGCTTTCATTGCCACTTGTAATCCCAAAAGTCACACCATACTGCAACCTTTCTCTTTAAAATAAATGCTTCAAGAATTATCAAATAGCAAAAAATATCCGTTGGGAGAGTAGTGCTTCTGCAGGTGGTGTGCTAAAGACCGGCTGGGAGAGAGGCCAGGTGCCTGGAGAGATGCAGCATGTGGAGGAGAAGGAGCTGGAGCCACCAGTCAGGACTAAAGCAGGCGGGAGGTCCTCATGGACATGTGCTTGTGAGAAACAGGGGAGCTGTGGGAGCAGGGTGCAAGGCACCCCCTTACCTCTCCTTTCTTTTATACCCACTCTCAAGTTGCATACTCATTTCTGTGACATTCTGCCTTTGAATGTAAAAATAGTTCTATGTTCAAAGTTGCTAGTTTTGTTCATCTAAGACAAAATAAACGGGCAAAAAATGGGAAGAAGCAGATCTAATGATTACTTTGATCTTTTTTCCCCCTGTTGCTATTGCCTAAGGCCAATTTGTAATGTTTGGTGAGAAGAGGTACAATGAGCCAGAAGGCTTGTCTCACTTCCCAGTTTATGGCAGTCCTGGCCGGACTGCCCGAACTAGGTGGTTTGCAATTCCATTTGTCCCTTCTGTTTCTGTGTTTAATTATTGATCCATGACATCAAAACTTGTACTGTACGAGCTGCACCAGTGCCTAGCAAAGACTGTTGTGGGGACTTGGCATGAGGGGAATCCAAAGAGCACAATGGCTATTTTGTATTCTAATTGTTTGTGTTCCTATTTTGTTAGAGAGAGAGAGAGAGAGAGAGAGAGAGAGAGAGAGAGAGCGCAAAGACTGAACTCTACTCCAGATACTGAAAGCTTCATACAGCATTGAACACTTCTTAATTGGGAAGACCCTGTAATACTAGGGCTGATCTGGAAATAATGGAGAAAGAAACATTGAGATTATTTTTTTAAATGCATTTACATGTACCTCCCCCCAATTTACATGAACATGGATAAAAAAAAATAATCTCGAAGCACTTTGGTGGAAAATGTTTATGTTTCTACTTAGCTCTTTTGTCTTTTTCTCAAAATTACTATAATTTTTGCCCCTTTTTTTTTTTTTTTTTTTTTTGGCTTTCATACCTTTGCAATTACATAGACTGCTGGTAGCAGTGATTTCTCAGAGCCGAACTTTACTTGTTTACTGTTTTCTTTTGGCATAAGAATTTAGGTTTCTGCACACCTTCCCTCCTTGCTTCTTGTTCACAAGTAAACAAGATAGGACTGGCCAGTGGTACCTCATGACTGCTTTTCTTTCCCTTGTAGTTTTTGCTTTCTTGCTGGAGAATCTGATTTTTTTATTGTAAGGTCCTGATAAAACATACTTGCTTTTGAAAACATTTGGGGCTGGGGATTTAGCTCAGTGGCTTAAGTGCCTGCCTGGCAAATGCAAGGTCATGAGTTCAATCCCCAGTACCAAAAAAAAAAAAAAAAAAAAAAAAAAGAAAACATTTGAAGTAGCAAGATGCTGAAGGAGCTGCATTTTTCTTAATGATCTGTGCGTGTTTTGTCCTCTAGATCCAAAGTGACCCAGCTTCTCTCTAGCCACATAGCTTCACATTTTCACTCTCCCATTTGGTTTCAAAGGGATCCTGCCTGCTCTATTTCTTAAGCATAGTGGATATTTGGCCTTTGTTACCCTCATAGTATCTCTTCTCCCCTTGACTGTATTCATAACTTGTTTTTTCATGGAATCATTTTATACCACTCACAAATCATGAGTTTTCAGTAGGATTAGCCCAAACTTCATTTTTAAAAAGGGGGTGGGCTCAGGACATTTTAAACTATTTATTTTACCTAATTTTTCTTGCTCCAGTTTTTCTAGAGTAACCAGTTTTGTTGAGGTAAATTTAGATGAAGCTGTTGTTTGTTTTGGAGGGAGTGGGGAGGGTGGAAGGTTATTTCCTGTGAACATGAGGCTAAGCCGGAATTGATTGTCTGTCTCGCCATATCTGTTTCATTCATCTGAGGTCAAAAGAAGACAGAGAGTCAATCAACAAATGGATTGGAGGAGAGAATCCAGTCAACAAGTGGAGAAAGAAAGATATAATGGAAACTAAAAGTGGGAAGGAATGTATTTAGCATGAAATTGTGAAGAAAACCACACTTGCCCCTAAACTTTAATATTTGCACAAATGAATGAGACTCATCTTGCTTTGATGATGGTGATTTGCATGTTATTTTGTATTTGAATTAAAGCTGATCTATGTTTTTAATATATCAGATTTAGCACGCTTGGTTTAATGCTGTTTGACTGGAATATATTTTCATGTAATTCTTTAAGAACAGTATGTAAGAGGGGAATTTTCTGAGTTTTTTATGTACATAAAATCCTTTTCTGAATCTTAATTTAATTTATAGTTTGGAAAGTTACCAATTCTAGATTGGAAATACTATTCCTCCATGTTTTGGGTGCAGTTACAGTTTGATACTGAAAAGAAATAAAAAATGAACTGTGAGACTCTTTCTTTTAGCTGCATTTTTATTTCTGGAATCATTAAATGGAAAAACTATTTCCAAATATCTGAAATTTGATAAGAGGGCATTATAATGGCATAGGTTTTAAAGATCATTTCGGGCACCTCAGCACGGACTCCTAGTTGGATGTTCTGTGTGATCTGTCAATGACAGGCTTTACATTTTGAAGAATAAGTTGAGTATAGTGAGAGACCTGGTATAATCTCAAGGCTTGCCAATTGCCGTATTTGCTTTAGAATGATTTAAAGCAGGCTAGAGAAGTAAGTATTTGAAGTAACAGAAAAACTCTAGACTCTGAGTAGGTCTTCCATAGGACAATTTTGTTTTCCTAGATATGACACCTACAGTTGTGTGCCCAGGAAAGGGTAGAGAGGACAGATCCATGGCACACAAGAATCTGTGCATGAAAATGGGGTATAACACTGCACAGTTGTTAATGTTTAAGCAATGATCATTTCAGCCCTGATAAATCTCCGTACTTCTGTCCATATTGAATCTCAGCATTAAGTGAATTTGAAAGAGAAGAAATGGATATCAGATATTGGAAGAAGACATTGAAAGGCTCGGAGGCTGGGTCATAAAGTGCGGGGTGTGGCTGGGATTGCAGCAGATGGCTCTGATCCCTAAGCAGACTATTCACTCTCATTGAAATGAAACAACTGATTGCAGCAACTGGTATCCCGAAGTGTTTAGTGCGGCTGTTTCAAGCCAAGGTTAATGATAAGAGAAATCATTACAGAATTAGGCAAAAAAAAAAAAAAAAAAAAAAAAAAAAATTGAAAAATAACAATGAAAACTCCCTGCAAAAGAGACATCATGTGTAAGGAATGTTGCAACCTCAAATGCGCTGGAGTGGCAGCAGCCTAGGAGTTTGATTCACTGTGTGTCACGGAGATGATAGAACATGCCCGTGCTGAGGACAGCACAGATGGAGCCCATTACAGTACCACCGAGCTCGCCCTATCGTAATAAATCAAGGTATGACCAGAAGGTTGAAACAGTTACCAGGTAATCTCAAACTGCCTTCCTCAACTTTAAGAGCTGATCTAGCTTTCTGAACTGGAATCCAAGGACCACAGAGGAAACCCTGTCCCCAGAAAGAAGGGTTCCACGATAACTTAGCTAATTCACTTAGTAGTCATTTCCTAGTTCTTTTCCGAAGGTTTCTACAGAAAGTTCCTTGGGTGAATGTGTACTAGCTGTGTGAATTTGCTGGGACTGACATGACAGCAAAACGCCAAAATGAATGACTTAGAAGAAAATGTATTGATTTGTATTTCTGGATTCTAGACATCAAACGCCACAGGTATTTGGGGGTTTGTGCGGGAGAATCTGCTCCAAGTCCCTCTCCTAGCTTCTAGGGTTTGCTAACAATCTTTCTTTGGTTTGTGGAAACACAACTCAATTCCTTCCCTTTCTGATGGGGTTCTATTTGTGTACCTCTGTGCCCAAATTTCCACCTTGTATCGGGGAACAATCATGTGTATTATGCCCCACTCTACTGCAATAAAACCGTATTTTGACTCTTTACACTGCAAGTAATTAATCTCTAAACACTAGAATCAACATATTAGTTTCTGATGGGCACAATTTACCCCTTAACTCTGGAGAAAGTGTGACTACACATATTTAAAGGACTGCTAGACACAGAGTGCTTATAATTTAAATATGAAGATCCTAGAGGTAACCAAAGACCTCCTATACTAGAGACACATAGGAGCAAAGTGACAAATGACCCTCACTGGACAGGCCTGAGCAGAAGTTTACGAAATTGCTCCCTGCTTTCAGCTAAGACAACAGATCAAAATAATACTACACTGCGGTGGGAAGAGTGACAGAGGGCAGAACCCATTTTAAGGGTCTGAACGAGGAGTAAGCAAATCAAAACTATGAGACCATCTACCATTAGGTCAGAAAACTAAAAATGTTTTCACATTAAAAAGTTAATGACTTTAAAAATTTTTTTTTTCAATTTAGAGAAAAAAGCAAAACAAAAAAGGGTAGAAATAATACAGAATTTCAGAAAAACCAGTAAGAAATCACTAGTTGATAAATTATATATTGTTATCTTAGAAATAGTTCAAGTCACAAAACCAAAGCATAAAAAGTAGACAACACAATTATTTCTAAGATAACAATGTGCAATTGCGCTAATTTTTTCTTATTTTAAAAATCAAAACAAAAAAGACATCATTCAGAATTTCAAAAAATAGTAGGAAATTAACACTAGTTAATATATTGCATATTGTTATTTTAGAAGTAGTTGTTCAGGTTACAAGATTTAGGCATGAAAAAAATGATCAAACAAAAACAAAGCACAAACTGTTCTTTTTGATGAACTAAGAGATTATTAGCATATTATATCTATGTATCTATCTATCTATCTATCTATCTATCTATCTATCTATCTATCTACATACACATAATCTTTCCCTTCTTCCTTGTTTCATTTTCCTTGCCCCAGTTGATTTTTCCTTTTGAGCACTTTCTTTTCCTTTCATTACCACAATATCTATGATTAAGTCATTGCAGCAAAAATATCTTTGGCTGCTGATATGTACAATCCTGTCTACCATTTCTCCAAGGTCAAACCATTAGTTTATCTGAAATGAATCTCTCTTTTCCAGTCAAGAGTTTTCATTCACTAGATGGCTCTAGGTGTGACCACACAATGACCTGAAACCTGTAAATCTAAGTTATGGTGCTCCATTTTTCACTTTTATGTTTAAGGTAAGCCACAATGAAGAAAATCTTAGTCTAAACTATCAAGATATTCATGTACATGAGAAGCTACCTAAAGCAAATACATATATAGTAAGGTATGGGCGTAAACATTAAATTTCTTGGGCATCTATTTCTCTTGGTTGTGATTTACATGGTGCTCCTGCGTCACCACTGCCAACAGGGATGGAGGTGATGGCCTTATCTTCAAAGAGAAGAGCGGATGGCAGATTTTGATCCCATCATTTTCCTAATCATCCACTTTCATTTTCAGTATTGGGTCAGGGCCTTGTTACATGGTTACTGAATACTGGCATAACTTTGGTTTGAATGTTTGAACTGAAGAAAACATAGATTATAAATCATATGATTGCATGTGCAGTTATCTGGCTTCACTTTGCTATTTATTTATTAACTTTTCCCTTTTTAAAGTTAGATTCTCACGAAGGGTAAGGCCATGGGTTTGGAGTGCAGACACAGAGCTCTCCCATTGTCTGAGCCATAACCACAGGCTGTAGCTGAGGAGTGTGGGGACACATTCTCAGTATTCATTCTGCAGGAGAATGTGTGCCTCTCCCCTTTCATTCTGTCTTCAAGACGAGGCCTTAACTTGGGAAGAAAAGCATTTTATTCTATTGATACCTATTACATGTTCTAATTTTCACTTCATCTTAGCAAAACCACGATCTCTTTGATTGAAATAAGTTACATAAGCAAATCCACTATGTATTATTAATTAAATGCAGTTCCTTGAAAAATCTAACCAAGTTTTTACTTGGCAGATTTTATGACTAGAACTTTTTAATTTGGTAGAATTTCCCAGGGATACTGATAACAGTATTTTGTTTAAAATTGAGAACAGGATGTCTTTACCCCATGAGAATGAAAGCAGCACATAAAGACCATATTTCTTTTTCATTAAAAAAAAATGTTACTGAGTCTATTTATAAGATGTTTCAGTGCAAACAGATGACTGGTGTATTTAAGACATTGCCTCTAAAGTCGTGAGATGATTTCTGGCAGGCACAGGTACAAGAAGTTTTCTAAAGAACTGGCTGATTTTGTTATTCAGCAAAACCATTTATTCTGCCAGTGCATCTATTGAATTCTGAAATTGCACCTGCACTTCGGGAACCAAAAGGTTCAACAGAAACATTTTTAGTGACTGGCTTCAAATGAAGATGATTCTTTGCCTTTGTTTGCTGTTTTTTATGTCTGCCTTTCTAAAGAATTAAACATAATTTTCAGTGTGCTGTTTGGTGTCTGCAGGAACTGATCATTTTCAATACTCTGGGAGGTGCAGTGCCATCCGCTCTCCACCTCCTTCCGTTTCCCACCTTTGCTAGAGAGAGGTCAAGCACTTTCCTGTCGTCCTACTGCAGTGCGGGAAGTAAGGACTGGAAAAGATAAGTGGCTTAATCACGACAGGCAGAGTTAACACTGAAGGTGGATCAGAGAACGTTTACTCTCTTAGCAGAGACTTGATATGGGAGGGGGAAGAAAAGACCACCAGCAGAGTGGTTTTGTCACACATTCAAATTCAAAGTCCAGGTAGGTGTCAACTGACAGGAGACTACAAAATGTATCTTAACTTTCAAGCAAAGTTGATTTGGGTAAATAAATGGGTATATCTTTTGATAACATGTATAAAATGTGATTAGATAGTGGTAATAAAATGAAATCAAGCAAGAGAAGAATGGCTGCATTTCTCTTTCATTCCTATTTCTGCTAAGAGCACCTCAAACCTGGACACTGTTTTTCACATTCAGTATCAAAGATGCATTTTTATGAATTCGTGTTTTATACAGCTTGATAGTAGAACAAAAATTGCTTTATATTAATGTATATTCAGTGAAAATTAGTGCCATATGATTATAAAGTTATCTTTTATTGCATTACAGATAAAGTGGCAATCATGAACCTCATACTATACCCATGGAAGCAGTATAAGTTTAAAGATTTTAGTAAACTCTATCAGAAACTGCAACAAATCTAGCTCCAAATATGATAGTCACTTTACAACTTCATAGTTATGAAAAATGCTACAATGTAAGCATTTAAGCATTAAATTTGCTTATTTCCTAAGGACACGTGGGACAGTACATGGAATTATGAAGAATTCAATACAAACTTTGGCTGAAACTAAGTTATTGAACTTGATGTAATTATTGTAAATATCTAAAAGTGCATCAAACCTATTAGTGATATAGCTTTTTTGAAAATATATATTGTGTGAGGAGGAGCTGGGCAGATCTGGGGT